CCTACACTACAGCAAGGGTTTATACAACCTCAAGGACCTACACAACAGCCACCCCCTTACCAGAGCCTACAAACTAATACAAATTATCAGGGTAACACTGGTACTAATCAAAATAACTCTGGTTAATTTTAACAATTAGTTTAAGTTAGACTAAATTAGATTATTAATTTATTTAATTTCTACAAGTACAATTTTGTGTTTAAAACTTTATTTAAGCTATGATTATGTGATTAATGTATATGTTTTTTATATCACATAAATTGACACTAACTTAATGTAAATGCAATGAAAAAATTGAGCGCTTCATAGACAATGATCAAGATAAGTTACATAAGCTCACACAACGTATTATAGAATTCAACAATAAATATGATATAGAAACTAACCAGTTCAATATGTTTAAAGTGGACATATTTAAGCAAGTTATTAATAATAAAGCTATTTTATTAGAGAATAGTAAATTTATTAAATTTTATCAAGATATGTTTTGTGATTATAAAAGTTTATTCAGGATTTCAAATTATAAATATTATCAAGATATGAGTTGTTTTCTAATACGGCGGAATCATAAGCTTGGTCATAAACTTAGATTTATGTAAGTTGCTCAAATTTTATTTTCTAATTGAATTGTTAATTATATTTTTATGGTTACAGTTATAAGCAGATAATTGAGACAGGCATTATTACACATCATCTATTATTGACACATATTATCGTATATATTGTTACTAAACGGAAACGATTTCTCGAGAATTCCCAGTTTGGTGAACACACTAAACGTATTACAATAATTACCCTGGATGAATTCATTAAAAATCCATGCATTGCTTTATTGACAGGACTGCTTATAGCCACAATTTTGCTTGCTCATGAATTATATCGAAAAGAATATTTATAAGTTTATTTATTATATTTGTATAAATAATAATATATTATAGTTATTATTATAATTGTATTTTTTTTGCAAAATACTTTTTAGAAATAACAAAAAATAATTTATTAAATAATTAAAACATTATAAATTATAATACTGTATATTAATTGAAAGACTCATAATTTTCACATATTAACATCGAAATGAATATTTTGTTTAACATTAAGCAGTATAATAGAGACATTTGACATTGTATTGATTTATGTGTAATATTTTATCCCCTATTGTCTATTTTAATTGATATTTAAATTCTTTGACGTTTTGTGTCAAAAACATTGCAAACAATTATATGCTTAAGCAACGCATTGTGCTATTTAGTGATCAATATAATTTAGTAAATAAACCGACCAACATATTTAATATAACAATATTTAAGCAAGTTATAAATAATGAGGCAGTTTTACTAGAGAATAGTATATAGAGCAAATTTTATCAAGATATCTATTATGATTACAGACATTTATTTGAGATTTCTGAACATAAATATTATCAGGATATGAGTTGCTATTTAATTCGCCGTAATCATGAGCTTGGTCATAAATTCTTGTTTAGGTAATGTATTATAATTAATACCATTTTATTAAGCTAATGTCTGTTACAGTTTTAAGCAAGTAATTGAAACTGGGCTGAAAATTCACCATGATCAAATAACACATATTATCATATATTCTGCGACAAAGCGACATGAATTTTATCAAAATCTAGATGTTTCACAAACTGGTGGACACAATCGTGACGTAAACATTACCTTGGACGAATTCTATAAAAATCCATGTTTCACTCTATTAATAGGATTATTTATATCAACAGTTTTTCTAGCTTATGAATTAAGTATCTATATTTTTAATTTTAATTTTGGCTATTTCCATTAAAATGTGCATGATCATCGTGAAATTATATTTTTTTCCAATTTATTACAAACTAAATAAAATGATAAAGGTCAAATAAATATAACTTTAGAAACAATACTAGACTTTAGATAAGATAATGGTATCCAAGACTATACACATGATAATGATGTTGGTTTCTAAGCACATGTATTCAAGTGCATACCGGTGCCATTGGGAGGTTTTCATTGTATTTATATCATATGTATTTTGAAAAGTCTAAAAATAATATTAATAAAATAAATCATCTATTACATAAATCATACCAAATTATTTACCATAGTTAATTTCCAAATTCAAGTACTATTATTCACAAACTGTAAGTAAAATATAATTAATTTTAAAAATATTTCATATAGCCTTTGTAAATTTTACAGGAAAAATCAAAATACAACAAATAAAAGCACCATGATAATTGTGACTGAATGCGCACAATGGCAAGAGATCCGCAAAACAATAGCCCACAAAAGCATAGGCCTGGTGCACACTATGGGCAACCTGCACCCGGGTCACATCAGTCTGTGTCAAAGGTCACAAAAGGACAACGATGTGACAGTAGTGGCCATTTTTGTAAACCAGACCCAATTCAATAACCCGGATGATTACCGATACTACCCGCGTACCCTTGAACAAGACAAACAGCTCCTACACCAACAAAACGTAGACTATCTGTTCATACCGACTGCTGAGGAGATGTACCCTGATGAGTACCAGATATAGGTACAGGAGACTGGCGAAATAGGTGCGCACCTGGAGGGCGAGTACAGGCCCGGCCACTTCACCGGTATGCTGACCATTGTGCTGAAGCACCTGAATGTCATACGACCCACACATTCCTATTACGGGGAAAAGGATTACCAGCAGCTGATGTTGATTGAGAAAATGGCCAAGGCACTATTTTTGAGTGTCACAATAGTAGACTGTCCCACCATAAGGGATGACAATGGGTTAGCCCTGAGCTCCAGGAATAACTGCCTATCGGAGGAAAGTCGTGTTAAGGCAGCAAAACTACCGGTTATTTTAAGGGATAGCCTGACAGTAGACGACGCTTTTGAGAGGTTAACTGATTTGGGGTTTAAAGTGGATTACGTGTGCGACCGATGGGACAGGCGGTTGGCAGCCGTTTGCTTGGATAATGTCCGGCTAATTGATAATATAGCTCACGATAAGCTGGGTAAACGTGAGACTAGCGTGTAGTTTATGACATAGAAATTAAATCATACATTATATTAAAATTATTTATTATAAATAAGTACTAAATCTTATGCTGGATTAATTTGAGTCAAATAATTTAAATTTCAAGTATCGTTAAAATATTATATATTTTACATTGCTATTATATAAGGTATAATTTATATTACAAATTATTTAAGACAAAAAAGTATTTCTAAATGTTTTGATAGATAAACATTGAGTTCAATATTAAACAAACAATAAAATCATAAAATTATTGCAATTAATGTATTATTATTACATAAAGGTATCCAAGGAACAATAACTTTTTATTGTATCTATGCAATAAATAATAGATCTAAAAGCAATTATTTATTTAATTAAACAACCAAGGTGTTCAACAAAAATATTTTAATTAATTTTTAATTTATGGTTACAATTAAAATAAAAATACAACCATAAACTTTATGTATAAAATTTACATAATTGCAGCAGTGTACAATATAATTTTGAAAATATAACTGAATTGTGAGCCATGTCACATAATTTAAATTCATCCATGCCAAACTACTTTTGTGTTTAACACTGAAATGCGTTTTATAATAATTTTTGACAATAAGTACAATGTTTTGTGATATAAAAAATATAATGACATTTTCATTGTTAACAACCCGTGTATATTATATAACGAACTATTAAAATGACCTTTTAACTTGTTTACTTGAATATTTAAAAAACTTTTATATTTATTATCATTCATTACTTAATCCATAACAAAAGCTATTATGTTAATTCGCTACTTGACCATGTTTACTTTATTTTGTGTCATAT